ACTCCACTGCCTGAATAAAGAGGGACACTCACTCCCCACAGTGTTGGGAAGTTTCCTTGTGCATTTGACAGGAAGAGAGAAGAAACGTTGAATGAAAAATGTGATAAGTCATTCTGGAAAATAAATACTGCATTATCCTATCCTACTTGCTCTCTTCCCCCTCCCACCCCCCATAAACTCATTTAGCTCAGATTTACTGAAAGATTGTGAAATGATTATACCATACTACTTATTATTTCAGTAGGCAAGTTCTAAAGCTTAAAATCAAGATTTATGTGGAAACATTGTGGCTGCCCAATGCGTCATGGAGGAGGGAAGGGGTTCCGTTAACCGGGGAGCCCCCATAGAAGTCGTGGTGGGGAGGGGGAGATACGGGAAAGGGAGGCCTTTAATTCGACCTAGGGAACGGGGAACAACATTAGTAATTCCAAATCGGTCTCCTGATATGGTAAGTTGGTGTAACCAGGATGGCGGTCCCTCCGAATTGAAAGTGGTGCTGTTGAACGCCAGATCTGTCAACGGTAAAACAACTTTCATCCAGGATTTAATCCTGGATGAACGGGCAGATCTGGCGTGCATCACAGAGACCTGGTTGGACGAAGCGGGAGGTGTAAATTTAACCCAGCTTTGTCCACAGTTTCTCTGTGCAGCACCAACCGAGATCCGGAGGGCGGGGAGGCGGAGTTGCAGTGGTCTATAGAGATTCCATTCTTCTGACCAGGGCCCCCATCCCGCAGTCAACAAATTTTGAATGCGTCCACCTGAGGGTAGGTGACCGGGACAGATTAGGGATTCTGTTAGTGTACCGTCCACCTCGCTGCACTACAGACTCCCTGACTGAGCTAGCGGGGGTGGTCTCGGACCTGGCGTTGGAGTCCCAACGGCTGCTTGTATTTTTTTTCTTCTTCTTTTCTTTTTTTCTTTTTTTTTTTTCTTCATTCTCTATGTTTTTTTTTCTTTTTCTCTCTCTTTTGTTTTTTTTATTTTTTTTCTTCTTTTTCCCCTGGCATTGGAGTCCCAACGGCTGCTTGTGCTGGGGGACTTCAATGTCCACGCCGAGGCTGCCCTAACGGGAGCGGCTCAGGACTTCATGTCTACCATGGCGACCATGGGCTGTCCCAACAAGTATCTGGCCCCACCCACAGTGCTGGACATACATTGGACTTGGTTTTCTGCCAGGGATGGGAGGAAGGTGGCGGTGTTGAGGAGTTATCCATCTCTCTGTTGCCATGGACCGACCACCACCTGGTCAGCTTTAGACTCACTGCACCCCCCAACCTCCGCAGAGGTGGAGGACCCATTAAATTGGTCCGCCCCAGGAGGCTTATGGATCCGGATGGATTCCTGACGGCTCTTGGGGAATTTCCCGCCACCTCGGTTGGTGATCCTGTTGATGCTCTGGTCGCTCTCTGGAATGGGGAGATGACTAGGGCAATAGACACGATCGCTCCAGAACGTCCCCTCTCAAGTAGCCGAGCTAAACCAGCCCCTTGGTTCACTGAGGAGCTGGCAGCGTTGAAGCGAAAGAAGAGGGAACTAGAGAGCGTGTGGCGTTCGGATCCGAGCGAGCCAAATCGAACACGGTTTGTGTCCTTTTTAAGGGCATATGCCGCGGCAATAAAAGCCGCAAAGAAAACTTTCTTTGCGGCCACTATTGCGTCTGCAAAGAACCGTCCGGCTGAACTGTTCCGAGTTGTCAGAGGCCTATTAAAACCCGCCACTCAGGATGGGTGCCCTGATGACTCGGCAGCTCGCTGCGAAGCTTTTGCTCGGTTCTTCGCAGACAAAGTCGCTTTGATCCGCTCTGGACTGGATACCATATTAACGGCAGTATCTGAGGATGTAACACGAGCATCTGCTTGTCCGGCTTTGATGGATTCATTTCAATTGGTTCAATCCGAGGATGTGGACAAGGTGCTTGGAGGAATGAGAGCTACCACATGCATCCTAGACCCCTGCCCATCCTGGCTTCTAAAGGAGGCCAGAGGGGGATTGGTCGAGTGGGTGAAGGTGGTGGTTAATGCCTCCCTTCGGGAGGGCAAAATTCCAGCCAGCTTAAAGCAAGCTGTGATAAAACCGCTGTTGAAGAAACCATCACTGGACCCCACTCAATTCGTCAACTATCGGCCTGTTTCCAATCTCCCATTTTTGGGCAAAGTCATGGAACGTGTGGTGGCCTCACAACTCCAGGCATTCTTGGTAGACACGGATTATCTGGATCCGGCACAGTCTGGCTTTAGGCCGGGGCATGGTACCGAGACAGCCTTGGTCGCCTTAGTGGATGATCTGCGTCAGGAGCTCGACAGGGGGAGTGTGTCCCTGTTGGTGCTGCTCGACCTCTCAGCGGCCTTCGATACCGTCGACCACGGTATCCTTCTGGGACGCCTCGCGGGGATGGGTCTTGGAGGTACTGTTCTGCAGTGGCTCCGCTCATTCCTCGAGGGTCGGTCTCAGAAGGTGTTACTGGGAGACTCCTGTTCAACCCCACAACCTTTGTCTTGTGGGGTTCCTCAGGGTTCAATACTGTCTCCCATGTTGTTTAACATCTACATGAAGCCGCTGGGCGAGATCATCCGGAGTTTCGGAGTGCGATGTCATCTGTACGCAGATGATGTCCAACTCTGTCACTCCTTTCCACCTGCTACTAAGGAGGCTGTCGAGGTCCTGAACCGGTGCTTGGCCGCTGTGACGGTCTGGATGGGGGCGAACAAAGTGAAATTGAATCCAGACAAGACAGAGGTACTCCTGGTTAGTCGCAAGGCCGAACAGGGTATAGGGTTACAGCCTGTGTTAGACGGGGTCGCACTCCCCCTGAAGACGCAGGTTCGCAGTTTGGGTGTGATCCTGGACTCATCGCTGAGCCTGGAACCCCAGGTTTCGGCGGTGACCAGGGGAGCCTTCGCACAGTTAAAACTTGTGCGCCAACTGCGACCGTACCTTGGGAAGCCCGAGGTAGTCCACGCTCTGGTTACATCCCGCCTTGATTACTGCAACGCTCTCTACGTGGGGTTGCCTTTGAAGACAGTCCGGAAGCTCCAATTAGTCCAACGGGCGGCAGCCATGATACTAACAGGAGCGGGGCGCAGGGAGCACACAACTCCTCTGCTGCACCAGCTCCACTGGCTGCCGATATGCTACCGGGCCCAATTCAAAGTGCTGGCATTGGCCTTTAAAGCCCTAAACGGTTCTGGCCCAACTTATCTATCCGAACGTATCTCGGCCTATCAGCCCACCAGGACCCTAAGATCTTCTGGAGAGTCCCTGCTCTCTATCCCGCCTGCTTCACAGGTGCGGCTGGCGGGAACGAGAGACAGGGCCTTTTCTGTGGTGGCCCCTCGGCTTTGGAACACCCTCCCTATAGAGGTACGATCAGCCTCCTCGCTGATGGTGTTTCGGAAGAGATTGAAAACATGGTTGTTTAAACAAGCATTCGGTTAATCCGTTGCAATCGAATTTTGATGACTAAAGGACTGGTAATCATGGACGACGAATCTTGGATTGTGATTTTAGTTACGAGATGCATGGGATTATTATTGGTGGCCCAATAATTTGTATTGTATATGTGTTGTATGTTTCAAATTGAATACTGTTTTTAAATGTTGTAAACCGCAATGAGTCGCCGACTTAGGCTGAGATATTAGCGGTATACAAGCGTATAAATAAAATAAATAAATAAATAAATAAATAAACATTGGACCTATGCGCAGTATTGTAATAATATACAGTCAGCCCTCCACATTCACTGGGCTTAGGAGACAGGGCTCCTGTGAAAGCAAAACATGATGAATAAAATGGCTATTTTTGTGTCTTTTTTCTATTGTAATTACGTAAATCTCAATAAAAATATTTTAATTACTTTTTTAAAAAACCTGAGACAATGCATTTCTAGGCCTTCCAACTTCCATTGCAAGTTGACCACAGAGTCATGCTGGAGGACCTAGAGATTCCTAGAAAGGAATTTTTAATCAAATGTGTGAATAATCAAATCCATAAATCTCAAAACTGCAAATGCAGAGGGACAACTATTCTTTGCCCATTCTTTGATCATGGGCAAGCCCTCTCAGATCCATCCTGTAATCTTCTGGGTTTCTGACATCCTTTGCTTTACTCTACTGAAACCTTTACAGAATACTTAGGTTTTGACAGCCAGAATGGATTTGAGTCATCTTCTTAAAATTGGGTAGAAGATGAAGAGAAAACAGATATAAAATATTTTTATGCGTGTCAGTTTTTTTTTTTTATTTTACTTGCATAAGAGCATTATTTCCCTAGGGTGAATTTCAGAAAGGGTGCCTTTGGATAATGAGAGTCCTTGTTCACATTTACTTTTGATGCATGTATTGCAAATATAAAGAAAAAGAAAAAAATCACCTCATCTGTCATATGAAACTCTAAACCTGTGCCGCCAGAACAATAGTAATCTGACCTTTTCAATTCTGCTCTGATAAACATGTCCAATAGACTGACACCACCAAATAGAGCAAAGCACCTTAGTACTTAACTATTTTACATTGAAGTGTGACACATTGAGAATCTAGATTCCAAATAGTTTTATGTAGGATTGTGCACCAAGTTTCAAATCTACTGCTAGCTTCTAACCCCCAAAATGAATTGTTTAAGCCAAGACAGTTATGAGAGATGTTCATATTATTGGCAGCACTTTTCAAAGGAAGAGATAACCCCATGCACCTGAACTCTTATGCGCTGGAGAGCAACCTAAATGAGCCAACAGTTTTCTTGGTGAAATGTAGATGTTGACAATCTCTGTTCCAAGGTCTTGGCTCATAGGATCTTTAAAAAACAGATTGTTTCTAATAACTGCTTTACTTCATTGTCTCCCCCAAACCAGAAAAGTATAATAGTGAAGTCACTTCTCACTGATGGGTTTTTTCCATGAACAGATCTTGTGAGGAGGAAATAATCCAAGTCTCTCACTAGTAAAATATTATCCAGTTACTTACTTTCTTCTCTCTCTCTCTCTCTCTTTCTCTTTCTTGCAGATTAATCCTGGAAGTAAAGCTGCTCTTGCCAACCTTTGCCCAGGTGATGTCATTCTGTCAATTAATGGAGAGAGCACAGAAAATATGACACATTTAGAAGCACAAAACAAGATCAAGGCTTGTCTGGATCAGTTAACACTTTCTGTAAACAGGTAACTAATTTCATTTGCTTTTTTTATGCTGATGAACTAGGTCTGTGCAGAGATTCATCAAACTATGTATACTGAAAATGTGCTTTGAGACATAATGTATTGGCTGTAAACATGTTTTCCCATACAGGTTATGAACATAAAAACATAAGGTAATAACAAAAGAGTGGGATCAGTCTAGAGGCCTATTTAATCAAGCATTATGTTTGCATCATGACCAATATTTGCCTATGGGACAAGTGCAACTGTACGTTATGTCATGTTCGCCAAAACGTAATATATAGAGGCCTTTGATCTTGAAATACATAATGATCTTAATTAACAACTTTTGGTGGTCTCAGCCACCACTTATTCATCCTATACCATTTTAAAGTCAGCCAAGCTTTGTGGCAGTGAAACCCACAATTTAACATGTGCTGTGTAAATAAGTGTACTTCCATTTAAAGAAAGACAAGACTCTTTAGAAATTGCAGCAGAGAAAAGCCTGTAAATAAATCTTAATGACATATGTAAATAATGTATATCGGCACATATGTAATATGTGCGAGACCTTGGGGGCCAATGTACATAGATTTTAAAGCCGATGGAGGTTGACATTGATAGCATTATTAATGTACCAAAATTACTGGATATTCTGGTGGGAATGAGATTTGCAATTTACATCTGTTGTTAACAAATCATGATGATGCCTTTGTTTCATTTTTTAGAGAAGATTCCAAATAAAGTAAAGTATTCACATGCTTTAGCTGTTTTTTTTTCTTGTTTCCTTTCTCCTTTGAGAGAACTAATTCTGTTTCAAATTATTTTTATAATCCTGCAAAAATGAACTATTTTTGTAAGACTAATTTTATCTTTAACACTTCCAAACCTGCCTATTAAGACTTCCAGTCTAAGCTAAAACTGGGTTTTCAAATACAAATAACTACTGATTAATTGCATATTCTTATCTTACAAAAAAAAGTTTAGACTTCAAGAAATATTTGGTATTCAATGTATTACTTTAGTATATTAAAAAAACTATGCTCCAGTGTATTAAGTCAGGCATATCGAAAATAAAATACAGCAAATTCTAAGATAGGAAATGGCTTGTGCTGATTTAAAGAAGCTGTGAGCACTTTCAAGAACATCTTCAGAAGTTGACCTGTAACTTGACATTTCCCAGGTTGCATTATTAAAGGATTTTTGACCAGAGAGTGAAATTCTGGCATAATCCCATTCTGCATAAAGCTATAAAAATTCCGCAGAAGTACATCAAATCAAGCGAGAGCTTTTACTCTTCCATACATGGAGGAGTAACTTACGTGGAATCCAAAAAAGGACCTCACTATATCCATTTATGTCAATCAGAAGCTTTCCATCCACTTTTCATGGGAGCTGACCATATACAGACTGTAATAGAAGACTTTGCACAAAAAGATTTCTATAATTAGCATTCCAGGCAAAGTAGCTTAATTGGCATAGAAGTGTTTATAAGAATCTGTCTTGGCCTAAATAACAGTTCATAAATCTGTAGCAGAAAACACATATCAAATGAAATTTTGTTGCTAAAGCATTTCAATTATTTATTAGGTAATAGAGTAGCCCTCTCCCCTTATCTGTAGGTAATATATTCCAAGGCACCCCATGGATGATTGAAACCACCAATAATACTGAACAATACAGTAATATTTTGGAGCACAGCTGGCCACAAATAACTGAAACTGCAGAAAGTGAACCCATGGAATGGGTACTATTGTATTTCATAGCTTCTCCCCAGCAGTTCAGAACAGTTTCTGAAAACAATTTTGGATCTGTTCCTTGCCACTGTTCTCTGACCTTCATAACCCACCCCATTGTGCCTGCTGCTTATTTCTGCTTATTTGTGTGTTATCTGAGGCAACTGCCAACATTGAAACTCCAGGAAAGGCATTGAAGGCAAGGACAGGGCAAGGGAAGGACAGCAGATACAGTTTACAGTATAGTGCTTGTGTTTGGGCACCAAGGTACTTGGAATATAGATACGGCCCCTGTTCCCAACCCTAGTAACAATGCATTCAGTTCTTATCTCCTTTAGGTCCAAACAGCCATGTGACTCAAGTAGCCTATGCTAGAAAAAAGGCACCCAGTTAATTTTCTGGGACCATTCAGCACATATTTTCTTTGGAGGTTTTTTTTTTTTGCGGTCTAAAGTTTTTTAAAAAAATAATTTTATTATATAATACATAGAAGCATACAATCTTCAAAATTAGCAGTCAAAATACCAGTATTTTCCCCAATCCCACCGTCACCATTACGCCGCCGCCCAGGAACACATATTTTCCTGAAGTATGTACATAATGGAAGAGGTCGGGGTAAGGGATTCTGTCTGTACTATGCAGTTACTTAAAACATGCATGTTACAATTTAAAACAGTGTAGGATTGAGGATTTAGGTTCCCACTAATATCATATCACTCCCGTTTGCCTTTAGGGTTATTGACAGGATGGGAGGAATTGTTCAGAGGTCGAGATCTGTCAAACAAGAACAAAGCCAATCTCTATTGGATTGTAATTATTTTGAAGTTTTTCAGCTCCAAATGAGGGGAGGTGAAAACAGAAGAGCTATGGGCTCAGAGTGTCAGCAGGGATCCAAAAGGCCACACTGGACCCCTCAAAGGGCCACATGTACCTCATATGTGCCCAGATCAATCCCTGCAAATTTATATTTTATTATTTATTTATTTATTTATTTATTTATTTATTTATTTATTTATTCCATTTATATTCTGCCCTTCTCACCCCAAAGGGGACTCACGGTGCATCACAGAACACATACACGGCAAACATTTAATGCCGTTCAACAGGCAGGACAGACAACAGGTATACAAATATAGTAAATAAATAAATAAATAAACAGATAGAGGTGTTATGTAGGCATTTTCCCCAACTTTGGCATCCTAGAGGTTCTGCTCAGTTCTGGCCACAGGGATGTGCTGTCACACCATCTTCTATGATGAAGAGCCCTTGATCACTGACTTCCTCCTTCCTTTGCTTGCTGGCATTTTCTGGTATTTCCTTTATGGTGCCATAAAATACCTCCTCGCTTAAGCAGGGCCTAATTTCTCTACTCACAGCTCACAGCTGTTATCAAACTGCTTAGGTGGACAGTAAGCAGGCTGAGGGTTGGATGCTCACCATGACTCGGGCTTCGAACTGCCAACCTTTTGATTGGTAAGATCTATAGCTGCTCGTGATTAATCAGCTGTGCTAAAGCTTGGCCCTTAACCAGCTGTGCTAAAGCCCGGCTTTAACTTTTTTAAATTAATGCAAAATTTTGCTATTTTTCCTTAGAAGTTGCCAAGAGAAATTTTGTCATGGGAAACCTGTTGATCATTACATAAATAAGGAAATCAAATGAATCCTTCAAACTGTAGCCAAATATGAAAGTTTCACAGCAAGAACCTAAATGTATGTAGCCTATGGGTCCAGGGGAATCTGTGACAAATGCTGGAGCCAAATGTTTGTTTGCCTTAGGGACATGCGGCAAAGGCCTAGAGAATAATAGATTATGAATAGTACAATGAACATGCTGAACAATAGAAAATAATGTTTTACAATATAGACATTATCATACTTTCTACATCACTTGATTCTTGGATTGGAGTACTACCGTAGTTAGATTGCCCTTGAGGTTCCCTTCCTAACGGTATCATTCTCATGATCTGTGACAACGGAGTATTCAGTGCTATTTACACAGAAGTTTTCGGATAGCTGAAATTTGACAGGATCATTTTCTTCAGAGACAACACAATGTCATGCTTTCAACACCACATATGTTTTCATATATCTTTCATGAGCACATTTCTCCGCCAGAATAAACTCTACTGTGGCCAAAGAAGAATTCTTCTCTTTTGATCAACACTACACTGACCTGAGGGAATGAGTCAAATATGCCTCCCATTATTTGGGAGATAATGAATAACAACTGGGCTCTAGATGGAAACAATGGTCCACATGAGTGTTTGTATTTTAGAATGTGTATCTTGATGTGGGTGTCCTCTAGGTGCTCTTTAGACAAAAAATGTCCACATCATATTATTCTGAGTGGCATCCATAATAAGGATGCACAATGTGAACTGGATTGAACTATCCGAATAATAATAATAATGTACCTTAATATCACTGTGTAGCCATATTTGAATAGCTCTATTGCCTTTAGTATCAACATGACAATCTTTGATTATCTGATCCAGCCATATTGCAGGAGGAAAAATATGGCACAGGATTAGAGGGAAGAGTGCCTGTAAACAGTTTGAAAAAATAGTTTTCCCCTCATTTTAAAAGCTATGTGATGATAAATTTAGTTTGAATTCAGATATTTTATTCTCTAATGCTCTGAACATATCTGGAGAAAAGGGACAATTGGCCCATTGTGCCCTGCACAGAAGCTAAGCAGATTGGCATAGTTCACTGTAATGTTCACATTTGTTAACGGGAATGTGTTCTTCATTGTATCTGAGAGAAGCAGGGAAGACTAAGAAGCATAAAACAGTATCCAGGATACATATAGTTCAGTCCTCCCTTCTCCCCCGAGACAACTGCCTCACTCTGCCTAAGAGCAAAATCAGTTCACGCTAATGAACTGAACTATATCTCTCCTTGGAATTTTGACTGCTCTCCAGCTTCTTCTAACCTCACTAGAAGACACATGGCATTTTGGCCCATTCAGGTTTCAGTATAAATTTATAAATGCTTACTTCTCTATTAAAATAAACAGTTCTGCACTATTTAAATCTGAAATATATCCGCCTCCAAATTTTAACAACTGCCTTAAAAAAAGAAGCAAAGTCTCCTAATGGGAAAAACCCAAATTGTTTATTTTACTCAGTAAGCAAAGCAACTACCATAATAATTCTGTTTTTAGCCTGGACCATATTAAACATCTGGGTGACATGGTTTTTTATATCCTCTGCTCTGCCCTAAGCAATAGGTAGAGTTCCAAGTCATTCTGTCTGGCCAAAAAAAATTAGTCACTGCTCAAGCCAG